AGCTGCGCTATTATATTTGACATTAAAAAGTATAGAGGTTACAACATTGTATCTATTTGTATCCATTTCGGATATAGATGTTTTATTAGGATACAAATAGATACAATGTTGCAACCTCTATACTTTTTAATGTCAAATGTAATAGCGCAGCTCTCTGCAGGGACAGAAGTAATTACTTCGCTATTATATATTTGCAAGCCATAGACGGGCGAAAATCGGCCGATTTTTTTTTTCTGTTGGTGGTAATGTCAGCCGATCGATCAACTGATTTTTCTTTTTTTTTTTTAAATAAAAATGGCCGGTTTTTGCCTCGTCTATGGCCTGCATTTTTCTTTTTCTTCTTTTCTTTTTCTCCTTTTTTTGAAGGTCATGGCTTATGCGCAGATTTTTTATCAGTAAAAGATCGGCCAATTTGTCAATCATTGCCGTGAAAATCGGGCGATCTGCAAAATCGGCCGATTTTTATCCACATTTACCAATAAAAAAAATGTGCCAAAATCCCAAAAAATGGCTGACCAAATAACCCACTAACGGCCCGAAAATCGTCCGATTTTTTTTTTTTTGGTCAACATTGGCCGATCGACAAAATCGGCTGATTTTTTTCCCAAATTGACAGATAAACAAAATGTGCCAAAATCCCGAAAAAAATGGCCAACCAATTATCCCATTAACGGAAGAGGCCCTTGTCCCCCATCAACATGGGGACAAGGTGCTTTGGGGGGGGAGCCCCCCCTGTACCAAAGCACCCATGTTGAGGGCATGTGGCCTGGTATGGTTCAGGAGGGGGGATGCTCGCTCGTCCCCCCTTTTCCTGACCTGCCGGGCTGTATGCTCGGATAAGGGTCTGGTATGGATTTTGGGGGGAACCCCACGCTGTTTTTTTATTTAATTTTGGTGTGGAGTTACCCCTTAATATCCATACCAGACCCGAAGGGCTTGGTGTGGGTGGGAGGGGGGATCCCACACTGTTTTTTATTTATTATGGTGCTGGTTTTTAAATGTAATTCTCTCTTTTTTTTCTTCACTATAGCTCAGAAATTCACCTGTCACTTCCCCCAGCTAAAAGAGAAAGTTTTCTTTGAATTGAATAAATTCGCTGTGAATTTAACTTAAAAAAGGGTGTTTCTAGGCTTCAGAGAGACTTAATATTAGTGCAGAACACTGTACCTTTAATTTAAATGCCCTTGGAGTCTGCTGGGGAAGAGAAATAATACTGTCAGTCAGTATGACATGCAGATGAGTGCCGTCGATCTTAGAATCACCGCACACTTCACTCATTTGGGCAGTCACGGGGCCAAAACCAGAGTGTGGAGCCACAGTGTGGCGGTGGAGGCAGCAGCAATGGGAGGCCATACAGCACCCTATGACAAAAATGGAAACCACCAGCAGTGTGAGGAGACCTGAAAGTGGCACATGGCAGAGTGTGGCGATAGAGACAGCAGCAATGGGAGGCCGTACAGGGACCCATGACACACTCTGGACCTGGCAGCAGCATGAGGAGGCGGTACAGGGGCCCATGACAGATTACGGGCCTGGCAGCAGCAGCATGAGGAGTCGGTACAGGGGCCCATGGCAGATTACGGGCCTGGCAGCAGCAATGGGAGGCCGTACAGGGACCCATGACACACTCTGGACCTGGCAGCAGCATGGGGAGGCGGTACAGGGGCCCATGACAGATTACGGGCCTGGCAGCAGCATGAGGAGTCGGTACGGGGGCCCATGACACACTCTGGACCTGGCAGCAGCATGAGGAGGCGGTACAGGGGCGCATGACAGATTACGAGCCTGGCAGCAGCAACTTGGACAGGAGGACGTTCAGCTTCTGCACCGTCGGGTGCGTGCTCGCAAACTGTTGTCTCTTGGAAACGGATTCCAAGAAAGACTGCTGACGGAATCCGTGAAGAGGAGTAGCAGGAGAAGGAGCATCTGAACGAGCGGAATATGCCAACAAGCGACAACAGTGGCCCATGACAGATTACGGGCCTGGCAGCAGCATGAGGAGTCGGTACGGGGGCCCATGGCAGATTACGGGCCTGGCAGCAGCTATGGGAGGCCCGTAATCTGCCAGCACCCTATGACAAAAAATGGAACCCACCAGCAGTGTGAGGAGACCTGAAAGTGGCACATGGCAGAGTGTGGCGATGGAGACAGCAGCAATGGGAGGCCGTACAGGGACCCATGAGAGACTCTGGACCTGGGACAGGCAGCAGCATGAGGAGGCGGTATAGGGGCCCATGGCAGATTAGGGGCCTGGCAGCAGCTATGGGAGGCCCGTAATCTGCCAGCACCCTATGACAAAAAATGGAACACACCAGCAGTGTGAGGAGACTGAAAGTGGCACATGGCAGAGTGTGGCGATGGAGGCAGCAGCAATGGGAGGCCGTACAGGGACCCATGAGAGACTCTGGACTTGGCAGCAGCATGAGGAGGCGGTATAGGGGCCCATGGCAGATTAGGGGCCTGGCAGCAGCTATGGGAGGCCCGTAATCTGCCAGCACCCTATGACAAAAAATGGAACACACACAGCAGTGTGAGGAGACCTGAAAGTGGCACATGTTTGGGGCATGATTCATGGCGGATTTAGTCAGTTGTGTCAGGAACTGGTGGTTTGAAATCCAGACTAATCCACGCCTGATTCATTTTCACAAACGTGAGTCTCTCCACACTTTGGGTGGACAGTCGTGTCCTCCGCGGAGTTGCAATACCTCCTGCCGCACTAAACACGCGCTCCGATGCCACGCTACTGGCCGGGCATGACAGCCTTTCAAGGGCAAATTCAGCTAGTTGGGGCCAAAGGTCAAGTTTCGTTGCCCAGTAGTCAAGGGGATTGTCTACCTCGGTTGGCAGGGTGCTGTCCAAGTAGGCCTAAGCCTGTTGTTTGAGGTCCTGCTCCAGGTCCACCTGATGCTGCTGCTGCTGCTGCGGCTGGTTAGTAGTTTCCTCACTGCGCTGGTGAAGAAAGCTACTCATCATCGACTGCAGACTGAGGCAGCCGCTGCTGGTGGAGCTGCCACTGCTCCTACCACCCCACCCCTCCCCTGCTGCCATGGCAGCGGAACACGAGCGCACAGGGCCCACAGTGTCTGAGGATGGACGTTGGCGCAGACAGGCAGAGACCAGCTGACTACATAGGTGTTTTTTATAGTACGTTATTTTGGCCTCCCTCTCAGCAGGTGTGAAAAAGGCCACCATTTTTGAACGGTAGCGAGGGTCCAACAAGGTGGACAGCCAAAAGTCATCCCTCTGTCTGATGGTTATTATTCGGCTGTCGCTACGCAAGCAACCGAGCATGCTATGGGCCATTTGTGCCAAGGAATGCGAGGGACTCCCTGCCTCCATCTCCACAGCATACTGCCACGGTGCGTCTAGGTCCTCTGTCTCCTCTTCCTCCTCCTCTACCAGATGCTCCTGCTCCTCCACTCCTGTCCGCTGAGTGGAAAAACCACCCCATTTCACTCAATAATTCCTGAGCACCAATGTCCTCCTCTACCTCCTCCTCTTCTTCCAGTCCTGCCCCCACAGGGGCCATGTGGCGTTGAGATCTGTGCGCCACGTCTACCGCACCCTGACCAGCCATTGTTAACAGCATTTGTTCCAGGACGTGCAACAGAGGAATGACGTCGTTCATCCCATAGTCCTGCCGACTCACGAATAGCGTGGCCTCCTCAAAGGGCCTGAGCAAGCGCAGGTGTCACGCATGAGCTGCCAATGGCTGACATCTAAGTTACACAGGGAGTACCTTTATCTGCTTTTAACATCAGGAAATCTGTGATGGCCTTTTGCTGTTCGTAAAGGCGGTCTAACATATGTAGGGTTGAATTCCACCTTGTTGCAACGTCACAGCATGAGGAGTCGGTATAGGGGCCCATGGCAGATTAGGGGCCTGGCAGCAGTTATGGGAGGCCCATAATCTGCCAGCACCCTATGACAAAAAATGGAACACACCAGCAGTGTGAGGAGACCTGAAAGTGGCACATGGCAGAGTGTGGCGATGGAGACAGCAGCAATGGGAGGCCGTACAGGGACCCATGAGAGACTCTGGACCTGGCAGCAGCATGAGGAGGCGGTATATAGGGGCCTACGGCAGATTAGGGGCCTGGCAGCAGCTATAGGAGGCCCGTAATCTGCCAGCACCCTATGTCAAAAAATTCAACACACCAGCAGTGTGTGAGGAGACCTGAAAGTGGCACATGGCAGAGTGTGGCGATGGAGACAGCAGCAATGGGAGGCCGTACAGGGACCCATGACAGACTCTGGACTTGGCAGCAGCATGAGGAGGCGGTATATAGGGGCTTATGGCAGATTAGGGGCCTGGCAGCAGCTATAGGAGGCCCGTAATCTGCCAGCACCCTATGTCAAAAAATTCAACACACCAGCAGTGTGAGGAGACCTGAAAGTGGCACATGGCAGAGTGTGGCGATGGAGACAGCAGCAATGGGAGGCCGTACAGGGACCCATGACAGACTCTGAACTTGGCAGCAGCATGAGGAGGCGGTATATAGGGGCCCATGGCAGATTAGGGGCCTGGCAGCAGCTATGGAGGCCCGTAATCTGCCAGCACCCTATGTCAAAAAATTTAACACACCAGCAGTGTGAAGAGACCTGAAAGTGGCACATGGCAGCAGAGTGTGGCGATGGAGACAGCAGCAATGGGAGGCCGTACAGGGACCCATGACAGACTCTGGACTTGGCAGCAGCATGAGGAGGCGGTATATAGGGGCCCATGGCAGATTAGGGGCCTGGCAGCAGCTATGTGAGGCCCGTAATCTGCCAGCACCCTATGTCAAAAAATTTAAACACCACCAGCAGTGTGAAGAGACCTGAAAGTGGCACATGGCAGCAGAGTGTGGCGATGGAGACAGCAGCAATGGGAGGCCGTACAGGGACCCATGACAGACTCTGGACCTGGCAGCAGCATGAGGAGGCGGTATATAGGGGCCCATGGCAGATTAGGGGCCTGGCAGCAGCTATGTGAGGCCCGTAATCTGCCTGCACCCTATGTCAAAAAATTTAACACACCAGCAGTGTGAAGAGACCTGAAAGTGGCACATGGCAGCAGAGTGTGGCGATGGAGACAGCAGCAATGGGAGGCCGTACAGGGACCATGACAGACTCTGGACTGGCAGCAGCATGAGGAGGCGGTATATAGGGGCCCATGGCAGATTAGGGGCCTGGCAGCAGCTATGTGAGGCCCGTAATCTGCCTGCACCCTATGTCAAAAAATTTAACACACCAGCAGTGTGAAGAGACCTGAAAGGCAGCACATGGCAGCAGCAGTGTGGCGTACAGGGACCCATGAGAGACTGGAGGCAGCAGCAATGGGAGGCCGTACAGGGGCCCATGACAGACTGGCTGGAGGCTACATGGCAGCAGCATGAGAGGCGAAAGTGGGCATATAGGGGCCCAGGCAGGATATAGGGGCCATGGCAGATTAGGGGCCTGGCAGCAGCTATGTGAGGCCCGTAATCTGCCTGCACCCTATGTCAAAAAATTTAACACACCAGCAGTGTGAAGAGACCTGAAAGTGGCACATGGCAGCAGAGTGTGGCGATGGAGACAGCAGCAATGGGAGGCCGTACAGGGACCATGACAGACTCTGGACTTGGCAGCAGCATGAGGAGGCGGTATATAGGGGCCCATGGCAGATTAGGGGCCTGGCAGCAGCTATGTGAGGCCCGTAATCTGCCTGCACCCTATGTCAAAAAATTTAACACACCAGCAGTGTGAAGAGATGGAGACAGCAGCAATGGGAGGCCGTACAGGGACCCATGAGAGACTCTGGACTTGGCAGCAGCATGAGGAGGCGGTATATAGGGGCCCATGGGGCGGTAAGGGGCAGGCAGATTAGGGGCTGGCAGGTAGTGAGGCCTATTGTGACTTGTCAAAAATTAAAACAGCGTGTGAGAGCTGAGTGCACAGCGAGAGTGGAGGGACGAGCAGGGGCGTGAGGCATGGAGCGACTGGGACAATGAGGACTATGGCAGGATTAGGGGGGGGTATTAGGGCAATCTGCCTTGCAAAAAATTAACCGATTGAGACTAGTGAATACAAGGTGGTGAGAGCGAAGGGCGGCAGCTGATGAGGCGGAGCGGATAGGGGCAGGAGATTAGGGCTGGCAGAGCTGGGCGTATGGCAGCATTAACCCCAGAGAGCCGAAATCCTGCCAGTGATGAACCAGCATGGAGGCTAGGGCCATGAGAGATTGGATGGCAGCAGATGGGAGCGTATGGCCTGAGTAGGTGCGCAGATGGGGCGTATCCACTATGTAAATAAACAGCTGTGAGAGCCTGAAATGAATGCAGCAGAGGTGGAGAAAATGGGAGC